TCTTAACCACAGTAGGGCAAGGACTTCTGAGGGGCAGGTCAAGGAAGGCGGCCCCTGGGATGTCCTGGGTTCCCACAACAAAGTAGGCCTTCACCGTCTTGTCTTCATCCCATGGTAACCTGCTGGGTGAGGTTTCCTCCCCACCTTACAGATAAGAAAACTGAGGCTCAGAAATCCAGGAGCTGACACTAGTCACATGGCAAGTGTTGGATGGAATAGTGCTGGTGCCCAGAGCCCAGATCACTACTCGCCCAGTGGTGGGGAGGTCACACCTAGAGCCCTGTCCTGGCCTTCCTAAGTGAGGGCATCAGGTGACAGAGAGGAAGTAGACTCCCTGCCCCACCCTCCCTGCCATGGTTAAGCCCCAGGAGGTGCATTAGGAAACCAAACGATGTCAGTGTGGTCCATGATTCTGAGTGCTGCTTCAAGACAGTAAGCACTTATTAAGCTCTTACTGTGAACCCAGACTGTGCTAAGCACTGATCTTTGGGCCAAGATCTCTGTGGCCCTTGTCCTGAGAGTGCCTGCTGAGCTTGACAAATTGTCACCTGAGTCCAAGGTTAGGGTCCCCTGTGGTTGGGGCTGTGATAAGGAGACCGAATGAAAAAAAAGTTTTTCTATTCTCTCACTCACCAATCAACACAGAAGACCTCTGTGATCAGAAGTGTGGGGGTATCTCCCCACATGGCAAGCAGGCAATCAGTTCTGCAGTGGACATCAGCTGGGTGTCTTCCAATTCAATTCGGACATCTACCTGGAGATAGTGTCAGATTCCACAAGTTGAGAGCTCAGTCCCTCAAGACTGTACCCCACTTCTGACACCCATTGCAAGCTCCAGGTTGTTTTATCTGTGCTTCTCTGACTGACTGGCTAGACATGGAAGATCCCAGGACCTTTTCCTTGAGTTTGATTTATTTGCTAGAGCAGCTCACAGAACTCGGGGAAATACCTGCTTAAGCTTATCAGTTTATTATCAAAGATAGTACAAAGGACACAGATGAAGAAATGGGTAGGGCAGGGTGTGTGGGAGAAGATCCCATACCCTCCCTGGGCACACCACCCTCCAGGAAATTCCCCACGTCCAGCTACCGGGGAGCTCTCCAAACCCAGAAAGCTTCATTACATGGGCGTGATCAGTCAAATCATTGACCATCGGAGATCAATTTGGCCTTCAGTCCCTCTTCTGCTTTAATCATGCCTTGGTCTTTCTGGTGACCAGCCCCATCTTGAAGCTGCCTAGGGGCTGCCAGCCACCAGTCACCTCATTTGCATGCAAAAAGACACTCATCACTTTGAAGATTAGGAGAATTTTAAGAGTCAGATGCTGGGAAGACCAAATATATATTTTATAATATCACAGGGCCCTCAGAGCAAGATAATTTCCTTTCTTCATTCTGCTGGGCTTAATTTATTCACTTTCTAGGAAATTAGAAGGGAGGAGGAGCTCCTTTCAAATCTTAGAAGGCATGTTAGCCATAAAGAGAAGGCAGAGGAACCAGACACCCAGGGGCAGCCTGACTGAGAGGAGTTGAGAACACAGGCTTAGGGTTGTGTGGATCCTGGCTCCCGTCAACCATAGGATCTTGGCCAAGTCATTTAATCTAGGTGTCAGTCTCTTTATCTGTAAAATGGCGCTAATGATATACCCAACTCATTGGGTGATGTGGGGATTGCTGTATAGAATTACTGAGCACGAGCCAGCCACAGTGACTCAGCCTGTAATCCCAGCGCTTTGAGAGGCTGAGGCAGAAGGATCGCCTAAGCCTAGCAGGTGGAGGCTGTGGTGGCCATGAGTGTGCCACTGCACTTCAGCCTGGGTGACAAGAGTGAGACTCCAACTCAAAAAAGAATTACTAAGCATGCAGGAAGAATTCCATGAACACCAGCCACTAGTGTTATCTAGGAGTCAGAGGGTCCCAGGCTGTGGCAGTACAGTGGTTGGGAAAGGGTGTCTGGTGGGACCAGGGGATGGAGGGAGAGGGGTGGTGTTTGTGACCAGGAGCATAGGGAGGTCAGCAAAGCACCGTGGTAATCAGCAGGTGTGCCTGGTACACAGAACCATACTCTGCAGGTCAAAGGGAGCTGGGGTACAGGCCTGAACTCCCCAAGCTAGCCCTTCAGACTGGGGAAAGCTGGTGCTGCTTGGCAGGAATGAAGGGCAGTGTGAGAGCTCCACGCTGCTGCAAGACCCTTGGGGGCTGGCGTTCCTCCATCCTAATGCCACCCGTGTCTCTCTGCATGTCAGGGGAGTGAAGAAAGAAGACAAGGCTTTGGCTGTGGGGATCCAGTTCATGCTCCTGAGAGTTTTGGGTAAAGAGCCTGCTCGGGACCATTGGTGGGGGTGATGGTGGTCAAGATACCCACCTTGTGCCAGGCCTGGGGACCCAGCCCCTGACCCGAGGGCTCACCGGCCCATGGAGTGACAGACCCCCACCCAGCTTTCCCAGAGGGGGGCTTGCAAGCAGAGCCCACTTCAGATGCAAGAGCTGAAGTGGGCTTGAGAGCCAAAGACTCCCCAGCCAAGAGGTCCATAGCCCAGAGCCCCTGAAGGGTTGTGCACACCAGGGAGGGGGCGGGGCAGGAATGGGTTGTCCACGACCCCCGAGTGCTGCCTCTTCTCAGCCTGGATGCCCAGCCCTGTGATCCACGGCAGTGCCATTGACACCACCTGCGTGCACTGGGCCCTGAGCTGTGGGCGGCGAGCTGTCTGCCGCTACTATGACAACGACCTGCTCCGAAACAGGTGAGACCTGGGACAGCAGCTGTGGGGAGGGTGCTAGAAATACTGTCGGGATCCCAGGCAAGACACCAGCAGGGAGGGGAGGTGCCACTGAAGTCCACCTGCTCAGTGACTGACAGGGGGCTGTATGCAGTGCTGAGCTCACCAGTCCTGAAAGCTAGACGCTCCCCCTTTCACAGGTGAGGGAAGTGAGAGTTCAGGTAAGTAGTCCAAGGTCACACAGTTAATGACTGGCAAATCCAGACTGTGCAGAAACTGAGAAGAATCAGAGGAGCAGCCTGGCTGAGAGAGGATTTGGGGCAAGAGGATGGTGAAAAAGTCCCATCAGACATAGGAGGCCTGGAATTCAGGCCCAGCTCTGTCTCCCTCATCACGGGACTTACCTTCTCTGGGGCTCAGTGTTCCCATCTGTACAGTGGGGAGCTCAAAGGACCCCAAAGGCACAGAGGTGGTTGGCCTTTGGTGAATGTGGAGAGGACTTGCTAGCAGACCTGAGGGCAAGGAGCCGGTCACTTCCAGCTCTGTGGAGGGTACGGTTCCTATGGGCTGGGACTGAATTGCTAGAGGAGGAAAAGTCAAGCAAGGGCCTTGATGGGTTAAACAATTCTTTTGTTTTTGTGGTGGGGCAATCCAAGTGTACATGTCAGGCCTCCTGAGCCCTGAGAGAAGCTGTGCCAGCCTAGGCCACATGGCAGTCCAGGACAAGACAAGGAGGATGCCCAGGCCTCTGCCGTTACCCAGGGGTCCTTCCGCAGAGCGAGCCTCTCTACTCTTCCAGGGGAGGGTCCAGCAGAGGTCAATGTCTCTGACTGATTGAGAGTGATTACTACTGACTCTACTCCGCCCCAGCCCAAGGACATCCAATCCCTAGACGGGGAGCTCTTGAGTTTAAGAGTCGCTTGTTCCTTCCCCAGGTTCATCGGCCTCCAGGTCTTCTTCAAAACAGGCACCCTGGTCTGCTTCGCCTTAGTTTTGGCCATCCTGAGGCAGCAGGACAAAGAGGCAAGGACCAAGGCGAGCATATCCAGTCCTGGTCTAAGAGAGCAGCAACTGTTGTTGTCAGGGTCAGAGAAGAAGCCAGAGGATTCCAGAGTGTGAACCATCCTGGGGCCTATCCTGGCCAAGACTAGCAATCCTTTGCTCAAGACTGAGTGTCAAGAGACCTGTGTTCCAATTCTGGCTTCTCCACTAAATTGCTGTGACTTTGGGCAAGCCGCTGACCCTCTCTGGGCCTTTGCTTGCTCTTCTGAACCAAAGAGTTGTTTGGAGGTTTGCTGCGTTGGCCACTTCTGAAGCAAGAGGATCCTCCCCTTTCCTCCCCCAGCCAGCCAGTCGACCTGGAACCAGGCTTTCCTGGGTGGAAGGACTACATATCGTTTCCCCGGGGCCTCAGGATAGGAAAGCGAACATAGTAGCCCAGGCTAGCCTCCACACTGGGCCCCAGCCCAGCTCTGACACTCACCTGGAGCACCCTCTCTGAGCCTCAGCCACCCCCGACAGGTGAAAATGGACTTGCCAGCTTTCAAGCTCATTCAGCTGTGACCCTCTGTGTGGTCAGGATGGACTCAGGTCTCCTCCCAACCCCAGCAGCCTTCAAGAAGTGTCCCTTTGGCGCCCCCTGGAGGCAAAGCCCTGAGCTGGACTCTGAGGAGAGAGCCACAGAGAGGAAGGAGAGGGACACCCAGACTCCATAGGGCCTTGGGAAGGCCCGTTTGGGGGTCCCAGGAAGACTCAGCTGAAGGGAGAGCCTCACTCTCTGGCACAGGAAGTCCCAGCCCTTGTCCTCAAGGAGCCATAGTTTCGGGATGAGGCCTGGCACCTGCCTTAGAGAGACCCAGGCCCTCACTTGGCTATTTTCTTACTTCAGAGACCAAATGCAGTCAGCATGCACTCATCAATACCTACACATTGCCAAGATTTCACACACATGACTAGGGGGGCCACCACAGTCACTGTGACCGTTGGGAACAGAATCCCCATTTCTTCCCAAGTGCCTGCATCTGTGTCACCTGGGACTGTGTAGATAATGTCTGGTTCGGTGACACCCAAGTTTTTGGGCTTGGCACCTCCTTCTCTGTGATGCCAGGGTTGGCGTCATGCCCGGGCCCATAATGCCGGGAGCAGTAGCACCCAGCACTGCGTCATGAGCAATCCAGTGGCTTGCTTGGGTCTGATGATCTGATCCTTTCTATGTCAGGCCTTGCTTTGTTTTATGACCAGTCTTGTCTGGCCTGGTTGTTTTCCTGCGGGGAGGAGAGAGTTTCCTGATCTGCTCCCAGCCCAATCTGTTGCTACCACATACCCACCTCGCTGGAACTAGCAGTGGTTTCCCCCGGCCCCGTGTGCCCAGCCCCGTGCTGCGGGTAGAGAGAAGGTAGGGCTGGGGGCCCACGAGGCTCTTGCCTTTCAGGCATCTCTCAGTGCCACGGTATTGGAACTTTCCACATGAAAGAAGAAGAGGGAGGTAGGAAGTTCTGATTCTCTTCTTATTTTGCTGGTTGATATTTGTAAATGTCTAACAAATGTCTGAGCCTGTGTTATCAGTGCCAAGAATTTCAAAGTCTCCTCTAACAAGAAGAGGCTCTTCATGTGTTTATATTCCTTCTCCTTCCCCCCGTTTTGTAGGTTTTGCAGAAATAATCTGGAATTATAAATACAGCTCATTATTAAATTTGTTCTTGCATAATGTCTCTTCTATTATAAAAATTCTTTCTTTATAAACTGCATTAGAGGTTTCAATGGCCACATCATTTCCAGTTATTTAGATTTAAGTCTTACTGGATTCATTGCTCACCATTATTGCTTGTATATTACATCTCTCCCTATCTTTATATGCTAGTCTAATTTTTGTTTCACTGGGTGACTTCCTCTAGTAATGGTTTCAAAAATGGAATAAGGTCAGGAGGCTATCTGAGTCCTCACCTGTCCAAATTGTCATTCACATTTTACAGAAGAGGGAACTGGTTCAGAAAAGACAAGAGACTTTCTCGAGTCACACAGAAAATAAAAGGTGGGGCCAGGGTTGGATCCATATCTTATAGGAGCTGAAGTTTATACAATTTGGGGAACCCTCATTATTTTATTTTATTTTTTGAGACAGGGTTTCATTCTGTGACTCAGGCTGAAGTGCAGTGTTGTAATCATGGTTCACCACAACGTCAACCTCCCGAGCTTAGATGATCCTCCCGCTGCCTCAGCCTCCTGTGTAGCTAGGACTACAGGCACTTGCCACCATACCCAGCTATTTTTTACTTTTTGTGGAGATTGGATCTTGGTATGTTTCTCAGGTTGGTTTCAAACTCCTGGGCTCCAGTAATCCTCCCACCTTGGCTTCCCAAAGTGCTGAGATTGCAGGCGTGAGATACCATGCCCGGCTATTTTTAGTTTTTATTTTATTTTTTGGAAACAGAGTCTGGCTCTGTCACCCAGGCTGAAGTACAGTGGTGCTATCAGAGTTCACTGCAGCCTTGAAGTCCTAGTCTTAAGCAGTCCTCCCATCTCAGCCACCTGACTAGCTGGGACTATAGGTGCATGCCACTATACCCGGCTAAATTTTTGTGCTTGTGTATAGATAGGGTCTCACTCTGTTGCACAGGCTGGTCTAGAACACCTGACCTCAAGCCATCCTACTTTCTCCCAAAGCACTGAGATTACAGGCATCAGCCACCACACTCAGCCAGAAGCCTCTTTAAAAAATACAAAATTGGGTATAAATACAAATATTCACCTATAATGAGAAAAGAAGTCAAAGCAGATACATCACACATCCAGAAAAATAGCGTATTATTTTAATTAGCTAACTGCCCTGCACACCTCTAGAACACTCCCCCCCCCCATGATTAGAAGAACCTTCCAGAGACTAGGTTCTAGCTCCATGCCTTTCAAACTTTGTTTCTGTTTCTTTTCTACTGCCTATATACTTCCAGGGTCCATTTCAAAGGGTGAAGACCATCTGAAGCCTGGGTGTAGACCTTCTTTTCTTTTCTTTCTTTTTTTTGGAGTTGGAATCTCACTCTATTGCCTAAGCTGTAGGGCAGTGGCACGCTCATGGCCACTGCAGCCTCGACCTGCTAGGCTCAGGCGATCCTTCCACCTCAGCCTTCCAAGTAGCAGGCATGCGCCACCACGCCCAGCTAATTTTTTGATTTATTGTAGAGATGAGGTCTCGCCAAGTTGCCCAGGCTGCTCTCAAACCCTATGGGCTCAGGCAATCCTCTCCCTCAGCCTCCCAAAGTGCTGGGATTATAGGCGTGAGCCACCACGCCCGGCCTGGGTGTAGACCTTCTAAGGGTCTAGGATCCCAAGTCAAAAACTCTTAATGAAATGAAAAGATCAGAGCTGTATGTGTCAGCTAGATTAGAGGTCAAATTTTGACTCTGCCACTTATTCAGTGTGACCCTGAACAAATGAAACCTCCATTTCATTGCCTGTAAAGTGAATTGATTGCACCTACCTCCTATCTCCCAGGAGTCGCAAGGACCAGATAAGATCATGTGCCCACTCACAGGCACCACACCTGATGATCAGGATCTGCAAGCTTCCTTCCCTTTCTGCCACCTTCCAAAATTACCAGAGAGTATTGGGGCGAGAGGGGGAGGTGATGACAGAGGAAGGAGGCACATCCCCTTTGCCCAGCCCTGACCGCAGCCCCGTTGTCCCCTAATCTCTCCTCCACTGTCAGCTAAGGCTCAGCTGGCCCAGTCTTATCTCTCCCCACAGCCAGCTTGGGACAGCTTTTCTCAACTAGATTTACATTTTTATTGATTTTCCTTCTCCCAGAGCAGTCCCTTCCTTCTGCTTCCCCTTTGGCTATAAAATGGGCTTACCCTGGGAAACAGCAGCTCTTGCTGGCCAAGAAGTGATGGTCCAGGAAAAGACTCATTCACCATTCCTTCATTCACTCAACCACTCACCCAACCAAAAATCCCTACATTCTGCTCCGTGTCCCTGGGCTGGCACTGCTGGGGACACAGACATGTGTCAGACACAGTATCTGCTCTCAAGAAATTCCCGGTGTACACAAATTGAAGAACAATAACAAAAAACATGAGTAGTCATATAAAAGCCAGAGATATTTCCTGGGGCCATCAGGAGGACTTCCCAGAGGAGGTTATATCAGAGCTGGCCTTAAAATCTAGGTAGGACGCCGGGCTCGGGGGCTCAGCCTGCCGGGCTCGGTGGCTCAGCCTGTAATCCCGTGCCTTTGGGAGGCTGAGGTGAGTGGATTGCCTGAGCCCGTGGGTTCGAGACCCGCCTGGGCAGCAAGACCTCATCTCTACAATAAATCAAAAAAATCGGCCGGGCGTGGTAGCGCATGCCTGTAATTCCGGCTACTTGGAAGGCTGAGGCGGAAGGATCGCCAGAGCCCAGTAGTTCGAGGCTGCGGTGGCCGGGAGCGGCCACTGCACTCCAGTCTGGGTGACAGAGTGAGACTCCAATGCAAAAAAAAAAAAAATTTAGGTAGGACTTCCTTAGTGGAGAAGACAGAAATGGGCAGAAGAACCAACAACATGAGCAAGGGTGGAGAGAGAGGTGTGTCTGAGCTCTAATGACAAGAGCAGTGTGATTGGAGTGTCCCATGTAGGCAGGATAATCAGGAAGAGAACCAAGTCTGGAGAGATCAGCAGGAACTGAGCCTTGAGTTCCAGCTGAAGGCCTTGGATATCTTCCTGAGGGCAAGGAGGAGCCCTTGAAGCATTGATTGATGGATTAGTCCACTGACCAGTTATTTTAAGCAGGCAGTGACATGACAAAATTTGTATTTTGGAAAGGTTACCGGTTGCACCATGGCAGGGGGGCAGGGAGGGGGGCTTGGAGTGGAAAAGAGAAGCCAGAGGCCAAGAGCTCAGGCAGGAGGCTGGTTCATCAATCAAGGGAAGCAGGAGGACTGGAACCAAATCAGGAGAGGCCTCCTAGATGTGGAACATCTCAGATGAGTCTTGAAAGATGAGTGGGAATGTCCTAGGTAGAGAAGTTGAGAAGGGTGTCCAGGCAGAAGAAACTGCACACATCAAGCATCCATGTACAGAGAGCTCCTGGTAAACTTGGGAAGTTTCCACCAGTTCAGCAGGGCTACAGCATGGCCTAAGAGAACAGGCATGGTGAGGGTGAGGGTGAGGCTGAAGAAGTGGATCGGCACCCCAATGCCACTCCATGCTCTGTTTCCTGACCCTGGCCCCAAGTGGGGCAAGAGAGGGAGCCCTTACCAGTTGTATAGAGGTGGCTATACAGAACCAAGAGTCCTAGACTGGGGTGCTCCTTGCTCAAAACAAATCTTTCTGTGTTAGCTACACTTCACATTTTACAAAGTCCCTTCACACTTGATCCTTGTGGTTTCCTGGTGAGGAAAGCAGAAAAGGGATCATTATTGTTATGTGGTAGGTAAAGAAACTGAGGCCCAGAAAGGTGCAGGAACACATCCAAGGTCACTCAAAATCCCAGGTATCCCCCTCCTAAAATGATCATGTTGTTTCTAATAAACCTACTTGTCCCTGAATCACATATACACAATAGATGTGGTAGATGCTAACTAATGTGGTTGGAATGAGATGGGGAGAGAAAACGTACCAGAGAAAGAGACTTCCTTGTCATGCCCCAGTTCTTCAACCCTCACCCTGGAGCTGGAGATGTTCTAGCTGAGAAAACAGAACCAGGTCCCCTCTGTCTTGAAATTCCATAGACAGGAGGGCCAATCCCGGCTCTGCCATTTACCAGGTGTGCAAAATCACTGTATTCGTCTGAGTCTTGGTTTTCTCATCTGTA